GGTAACTGGATCAGAAGTGGAACAACTGGAACACAAACCGGCACCCACAAGGGATGGCAGCACTGCAGGCAGCAGATTAACCTACTACGCAACAATGCCAGCCCTTTGAATTACCTTTTTACTGCCTTTCAGAATGCACATACCAATTTATAATTTCACCAAAGGGGCACAAGGATCCCCCTTTCTCATTTATTTAGGGTTTCAGTTCCTGACTTACTGCTTCTGTCTTTCCTAACACCACTCCTCTAGTAACTTTTGGTGATTTCAATATCCACATGGATCTTCTTCTGTTGGACATCACCCATCAGCTGTGTAGTAGGCATCTCAAACCAGCCATGTCCAAAACTGAATCCTGGCCCATTCTTGCCCACCCTGCCTCATCTGCAGCCTCCCCCACCATAAAACATGTTAACTTCATTCTTCTAGCTGTAGACCAGAAACCCTGCAGTCATTCTTCACTCCTGCCTTCCTCTCATTACTCCACATCTGAATCATATGAAAATTCCATTGGCTGTATCTTCTGAACATCTTTAAACCCCAACAATTCTCAGTATCTCCATTGCTACCGTTCTTGTCCAAGACACCATCCTCTCTGTTGGTGTTCCTGTTTCCACCTCTTGGGTCTACTTTCAAGAAAGCATCCAGAGTTAACTTTTTTTTTTTACAGGCAGAGTTAGAGAGAGAGAGAGAGAGAGAGAGAGAGAGAGAGAGAGAGAGAGAGAGAGAAAGGTTTTCCTTCCATTGGTTCACCCCCCAAAATGGCCGATACGACCGGTGCGCTGTAGCCGATCCGAAGCCAGGAGCCAGGCACTTCCTCCTGGTCTCCCATGTAGGTGCAGGGCCCAAGCACTTGGGCCATCCTCCACTGCCTTCCTGGGCCACAGCAGAGAGCTGGACTGGAAGAGGAGCAACCAGGACAGAATCCGGCACCCCAACCAGGACTAGAACCCAGTGTGTTGGCGCCGCTAGGCGGAGGATTAGCCAAGTGAGCTGCAGTGCCAGCCTAGAGTTAACTTTCAAAAGACGAATTATGCCATTTCTTTGAAGGCTCTTAATCTCACTCTTGTGAAAAAGACTAAGTCCTTCTGATGGCCTACAAGGTCACACATGCTGACTCTGACCCCCTCTGACTGCTACCCCATTTCCTACCTCCTCACTGTCTCAGCTCGAGACACATTGGCCTCTTTCTTCCTCTGACATGTGAGGGTCTGCCCACCTCAGGGTCTTTACACTGCTAGTTCCTCTTCTGGGAATTACCTGGCCCCAGACACCCACATGACCCTCCTACACACCTGCTCCGCTCATGACTTCCCTGTCGTCCTCCCATCATCCCTTGCTGTGAATCCACTTCTAGGCTCTTCCTCTCTCCCCTGTGTTCCTTTCCCCACAGTACTTATCATCATCTTCTAATTTACTGTACATTTTTGTTTTACTTTTTAAAAGGTATCCCTCTCTCCCCAGTAGAATGTAATCATGAAGGAAGCAGCAATTTGTGCACATTTTGGTAGCTTTTGCATCCAGAACTGTTCCTGAGATATAGACAGCAATTCAGAAACACTTGTTGGGGTCAGTGCTGTGAAGCTGCCACCTGCAGTGCCAGCATCCCATGCGGACACCAGTTCATGACCAGGCTGCTCCACTTCCCATCCAGCTCCCTGCTAAAACACCTGGGAAAGCACTGGAGGATGGCTCGAGTGCTTGGGCCCCTGCACCCACATGGCAGACCCAGATGAAGCTCCTGGCTTTGGCCTGGCCCAGCCCTGGCCGTTGCAGCCTTTTTGGGGGAATGAGCCAGCAGATATAGATAGATAGATAGATAGATAGATAGATAGATAGATAGGGATCTCTGCCTCTGCTTCTCCCTCTCTGTAATTCTGCTTTTCAAATAAATAAATCTTAAAAAAAGAAACATTTGTTAAATAAATCAATATCATGTTTTAATATTCTTATTTCTAAGTCCTTAAATTATCTTTAACTCAGTATTACTAAATTAGGTAAGCTGTCCTTTAATCAGTTAATTAATGTTTTTGTCTTTAGATGTGTTTCATCTACCAATTTACAAATGTAATTAACATTTATCATGAAGCAGTTTCTACGTTGACCAACAGCTACTGTTGAAACATCAGCAAACCAATCAGTGCTTATTTAATTTGCAATTGAATTCAGCAAGTTAATTTTAATTAATAATCTACAACAAAATACCTCATGAAAACTTGAAACTGGTCCAGCATTTGGTACTGCCAGTGTGTATCATTGCCCCTGAGAGGCAGTCTGCTCTTCCTGTGACATCAGCTATCAGTCAACTCTTTACTCAGGGCTACTCTTGCCACACTGCATGTAACACTGTGTAAATTCACGTCCTGTTACTTAATTTGAGACAGTTCCCATGACCTTGACAATCAGACTGCACACTGTCTGCCAGGCAGCTTGGCTACATGCTGATTTGTGAGTAAATACTTGCTAGAGACAAATTCTCATGAGCTCAGTGCCCATTGCTTGATGAGCTTTTTGAGGAAAGGGCCAGAGTCAACAAGACAGAGGGAGGACCTCCAACTGGTAAGATTCCATCAGCGTGGGCTCCATTCACAAGTAAATTCAGTTCCCTCGGCCACTGAGAACAATTCTCTGTATTCTTATCCAGAAAAAAATTTCATGGGTTTACAGCCTTAAGATAGAGAAGTTATAGTAATAGAAAATTCTGGATTCAGATACAACTTCAATGATACTACTTAAAAATACATCTTCGGGTACAACTTAAAATGATCCCTGACTTACTGAGTTTTCGAATTTCTATAGACTCTTCCTCCATACACTCCAGAGTTGGGAGACTAGTGTGGCTCAGCACTCAACAAGTATTTGTTCTTTGTACTTGCACAGTTCCAGATGCTGAAGACTAGTGATTAAAAGTAAAAGATGGCCAGCACTGTGGCTCAATAGGCTAATCCTCCGCCTTCAGCGCCGGCACCCTGGGTTCTAGTCCCAGTCCGGGTGCCGGATTCTGTCCCGATTGCCCCTCTTCCAGTCCAGCTCTCTGCTGTGGCCTGGGAGGGCAGTGGAGGATGGCCCAAGTCCTTGGGCCCTGCACCCCATGGGAGACCAGGAGAAGCACCTAGCTCCTGGCTTCGGACCAGCGCGGTGTGCCAGCTGCAGAGGCCATTGGAGGGTGAACCAACGGTAAAGGAAGACCTTTCTCTCTGTCTCTCTCTCACTGTCCACTCTGCCTGTCAAAAAAAAAAAAAAAAAAAGTAAAAGATGATGGCCGGTGCCTGCGGCACTGGTACTCCGGGTTCTAGTCCTGGTTGGGGTGCTGGTTCTGTCCCGGCTGCTCCTCTTCCAGTCCAGATCTCTGCTGTGGCCCAGGAGTGCAGTGGAGGATGGCCCAAGTCCTTGGGCCCTGCACCGCATGAGAGACCAAGAGGAAGCACCTGGCTCCTGGTTGAACCAACGGAAGGAAGACCTTTCTCTCTCTCTCTCTCACTAATTCTGCCTGTAAAAAAAAAAAAAAAAAAAGTAAAAGATGATGCACTGAGCCTGCATTTATTTCCTCTCCCTCCTCAGATCCTCATGAAAAGTTGAGAAAGGAATTTTTACTATGCATGAATCCACAAAGCAAAGAAGATGAGTAAGGGCACATCCATGGCCTGGAACGCTGTAGATTTCTGAGAAAACTGGGCAGGCAGAGAAGCAAGGTGAAACCCTGAGTTTTCCTAGTGAGCAGACAGTCAGAGGCAGTTGTCCTGCCCTGCAGAACCCTGGGATTTAGAGTCGATGAGGGTGGCATGTGTCAAGAATATGATCCAGGGGCCGGCGCTGTGGCGTAGTGGGTAAAGCCGCCACCTCTAGTGCCAACATCCTATATGCACGCTGGTTTGAGTCCCAGCTGCTACACTTCCAATCCAGCTCTCTGCTATGGCCTGGGAGAGCAGTAGAGGTTGGCCCAAGTGCTTGGGCCCCTGCACTCATGTGGGAGACCCAGAGGAGACTCCTGGTTCCTGGCTTCAGATCAGTGCAGCTCCAGCTGTTGTGGCCATTTGGGGAGTGAACCAGCGGATGGAAGACCTCTCTCTCTCTCTCTCTCTCTCTGCCTCTCCTCTCTCTGTGTAGCTTTGACTTTCAAATAAATAAATAAAATCTTTAAAAAAAAAAAAAATAAGATCCAGGCCGGTGCACTGTGTCTCAATAGGCTAATCCTCTGCCTTGCGGTGCCAGCACACCGGGTTCTAGTCCCGGTTGGGGCACCGGATTCTGTCCCGGTTGCCCCTCTTCCAGGCCAGCTCTCTGCTGTGGCCAGGGAGTGCAGTGGAGGATGGCCCAAGTGCTTGGGCCCTGCACCCCATGGGAGACCAGGAGAAGCACCTGGCTCCTGGCTTTGGATCAGCGTGGTGCGCCTGCCACGGCAGCCATTGGAGGGTGAACCAATGGCAAAAGGAAGACCTTTCTCTCTGTCTCTCTCTCACTGTCCACTCTGCCTGTCAAAATAAATAAATAAGATCCAGGGCTAAAAACAGAAGGATTTAAAGAAGGTCTAAACCTGTAAATATTAACCCTTTATTGCATTCATGCAAAATGCTAGCAGCCAAGTACCTCCTCCCAAGCTGGAGATTTGAAGCATTTTTTGTAAAGAGGCTGAACAGCTCTACTATAGAAAAAAACATCCATACTTAATGTTTTAGAGTCCAGAAAAATAATTGCCAGCCCTCTAAATTAATGCCTTATGCAAAATCTGTCAGGGGAGGGCCGGCATTGTGGCAAAGTGGGTAAACCCACCACCTGCAACGCTGGTATCCCATAAGGGTGCTGGTTTGAATCTGGCTGCTCCACTTGCAGTCCAGTTCACTGCTAATGGCTTGGGAAAAGCAGCAGATGACTCAAGTGTTTGTGCCCCTGCTACCCACATAAAGACCTGGATGAAGCTCCTGGCTTTGGGCTGGCCCAGCCCTGGCAATCGTGGCCACCTAGGGAGTAAACCAGATAATTGAAGATCTCTGTCTCTCTCCTCTGTAGCTCTGATTTCAAATAAACAAATCTTTTAAAAAAAAAATGTTTCGGAGCAAAAGCTTACTCACAAGTATGGTGCTGATCACCGGACCAAAAAATGCTTCTAACATGAAAGACAGACACCAAGGTAAACAAGTGGGAGGAAATGAGCTTGGAGAAATTAAAGACATTGCAGAAAGCAGAAAAGAATTTTTTAACAAAGAAGTACTCGTAATGAGTGACCTGGCAAAAATCTGAGAAGACGTCTCAGCCCTGCAACAATGATGATGATAATAAAAGCTGGAATTTGTTGGAGTACACCGGCAGCTGCTCTTCAACAATGCCAGCTGAGTCATCTGAAGGTCAGGTGGAAGTGCAGAAGCTGCGAATCCAGTCCCATGGTCTAAATTTAAGTCTTCTGTCCCCAAACACCATGGTGTGCTTCTTCAAATATGCTGTTTTGAAAAGAACAGAAAATAATTAAGTACTCCTGAAATTATTCATACATTTCAAAAATACGTATCCAGAGTCTTCTGTCAGCCAAGTGACAGTCCAGGTGCCAAAAATCTTGCAATGAACAGAGCCTGTAGGTTCCCAACTTTCATTAAGTAAAAATGAAGAATCCAATAGAAGTCAAGGGATTCTACCAGAGACTTAATAAAAGTAACAAAAGAGGCACTGGTGCTGTGGCATAGCAGGTTAAGCTGCCACCCATAGTGCCAGTTCCAGTCCCGGCTGCTCCACTTCCATGCCAGCTCTCTGCTTAATGCCTGGGAAAGCAGAAGATGGCTCAAGTCCTTGGGGCTCTGTCATCCACATGGGAGACCTGAAAGAAGCTCCAGGCTCCTGGCTTCAGCCTGGCCCAGCCCATCCCTGGCTGTTGCAGCCATCTGGGGAGTGAACCAACAGATGGAAGATCTCTGTCTCTCCCTGCCTTTCAAATAAATAAATTGTTTTTTTTTTTTTAAAGTAAAAGAAAGTTACGAGAAAAGATGGAAGGATCCAGGAAACGTGTTTTCTTATCTTTTTTTTTTTAGAAAGCTTTTATTTAATGAATACAAATTTCATACGTACAGCTTTTAGGAATATAGTGGTTCTTCCCCCTGCTCCTGCCCTCCTAACTCCACTCCCATCCCATTCTTCATTAAGGCTCATTTTTAATTAACTTTATATACAGAAGACCAACTCTATACTAAGAGAAAATGCCTTTTCTACTTGCTAGGAATTCCAAAGAAGAAACAGAAAATAAAGGTAGTTATCCCAGAAACAATGCAAGGAAATTTCCTAAAGCTGAAGAATACTGGTCCTCAAATTGAAGGAGCCCCTGCCTCCCCAGTGCTCAGCTCAACAAATGGAAAAAGACTGTGTCGAGACACATCTTCATTAAATCTCACGCCAGGGAAAGAAGATAAATTAAACAAAACTTCCAGAGAGTAAGACCAAGTCACTAACTGAGAACAAGAACTTGAATGGCATCACACCTACCAAAGGAATACTGGATGCTAGAATCCAGTAGGGTAAAGATTTGAAATTTCTGAAGAAAAGGGTTATGCAACCAAGAATTGTAAAGCCAGGTAAAGTATTGATTGATAGCAAGTACAGAAAAAAAGTTATTTTTAGATATTCAAGGATTCAGAAAATAACTCTCATAGAAGCCTAAGCAATTACTTAAAGATGTGTTGCAGTGAAATGAAGGAGAAAAATCAATAAAGAGACAACATGAGATTCAGGAAGCGACTCCCACTGGGAAAAGGGTGGGTACTTTTTTTTTTTTTTTTTTTTTTTGACAGGCAGAGTGGACAGTGAGAGAGAGAGAGAGACAGAGAGAAAGGTCTTCCTTTGCCGTTGGTTCACCCTCCAATGGCCACCACGGCCAGCGCACCACGCTGATCCGGTGGCAGGAGCCAGGTGCTTTTCCTGGTCTCCCATGGGGTGCAGGGCCCAAGGACTTGGGCCATCCTCCACTGCACTCCCAGGCCACAGCAGAGAGCTGGCCTGGAAGAGGGGCAACCAGGACAGAATTCAGCGCCCCGACCGGGACTAGAACCCTGTGTGCCGGCGCTGCAAGGCAGAGGATTAGCCTAGTGAACCGCGGCGCCGACTGGTACTCTTCTTAAATTTTATTCTGTAGACATTGGAGGAAACCTGAGTTTTCAAGCTAAAAGGTAATATGATGTAATTCATGTTTTTTGTTTGTTTTTATTTGAAAGGCAGAGTTAGAGTTAGAGGAAGAGGGAGAGCGAGAAGTCCTCCATCTGTTGGTTCACTCCCCAAATGGCCACGATGGCCAGGACTGAGCCAATCTGAAGCCAGGAGCCGAGCCAGGATCTTCTTCCAGGTCTCCCATGGGGGTACAGGGGCCCAAGGACTTGGGCCATCTTCTACTGCCTTCTCAGGCCATAGCAGAGAGCTGGATCAAAAGTGAATCAGCCAGGACTTGAACTGGCGCCCATATGGGATACCAGCACTGTAGTTGGTTGCTTCACCCACTATGCCACAGTGTGAGCCCCACAATTCATGTTTTTACAGATTTAGTTGAAAGGCAGAGTGACAGAGAGACCAACCAATAGAGAGAAAGAGATCTTCCATTCACTGGTTCACTCTGCAAATGGCCACAAGGACTTGGGCTTGACCACGCTTAAAGCAGGATTCAGGAACTCCATCTGGGTTTCCTGCATGGGTGGCAGGGGTCTAAGCACCTGAGTCATCTTCCATTATCTTCCCAGGTGCATTGGCAGGGAGCTAGATCAGAAGCAAAGCCATTAGCACTTGAACCAATGCTCTGATATGGGATGCAAGCAGTGCATTGCAAGCAGTGGCTTAATCCTCTATGCCACAGCACTAGCCCCATAATTTGTTTTAGAAAGAACATTCTAGGGGTTGGCATTGTGGTGTAGTGGGTAAAACTGCCACCTGTGATGTCAACATCCTATATGGGCACCAGTTCATGTCCCAGCTGCTCCACTTCTGATCCAGCTCCCTGCTAGCACCTGGGAAAGCAGCAGGGGATGGCCCAAGTATTTGGTCCCCTGAACTCACTTGGGAGACCTGGAAGAAGCTCCTGGCTCCTGGCTCTGAATCAACCCAGCTCCAGCCATTAGAACCATTTGGGGAGTGAATCAGTGGGTAGAAGATATTCATATTCATTCATTCTCTCTCTCTCTCAAATAAATAAATCAATCTTGGAAGGAAGGAAGGAAGGAAAGAAGGAAGGAAGGAAGGGAGGGAGGGAGGGAGGGAAGGACATTCTGTTCTAAATCTGTAGGTGCAATTAGAAAAGGATTTATGGGAAACTCACCAGGAAGTTTCTGCAAAACTCAGCCAAATGTAATTCAGCCCTTAACTAAGGTGATGACAATGAGACTGTATCATATAAACAGCTGAGCTGACAGCTGATGGCAGCATAGTAGGGGAGTGCGTAGCACTATGGAATTGCATTTTATTTTATTTTATTAAAGATTTTTTTATTTATTTATTTGACAGGTAGAGTTACAGTGAGAGAGAGAGAGACAGAGAGAAAGGTCTTCCATCCGATGGTTCACCCCCAAATGGTTGCAACTGCTGGAGCTACGCCAATTCGAAGCCAGGAGCTAGGTGCCTCTTCCTGGTCTCCCATGCAGGTGCAGGATCCCAAGCACTTGGACCATCCTCCACTGCTTTCTAGGGCCACAGCAGTGGCCACAGCAGAGATCTGGACTGGAAGAGGAGCAACTGGGTCTAGAACTCTGCGCCCATATGGGATGCCGGCGCCGCAGGCAGAGGATTAACCAAGTGAGCCACGGCACTGCCCTCGGCATTGCATTTTAAATACACATGGAGTGAATGTACAATGAGGGCAAAAGAGATTCTTAGAGGACACTGAACCCTCAAGCCCTGGAAGATGGTAGATAAAGGCATAAAATACAAAATAGATGTACCAGTAGTCTTGGAAAAAACACTTATTTAGTTTGATTTTTTTTTTACATATGGAAAAACAGGTTTTAATCTGAACATCAATGAAGGGACCAGGGTTAGGGTATCTGAGGGACACAAAAGGAGCCAAGGAGGTGCAGACCTGGTCCTGGGAGGAAGCCAGGTACAGAGACTCCCCTGGGATATTTTGAGTGGAGAGGCATAGTTCCATTGGGAAGCATGAAGGAGCTCCTGCTTTCTTTTTGGGTAACACCCAGACTGTCTGGTTAAAATCGCAAATCTCTGCAAGAGAAGTTAAATTTGACTTAAGAAAAGCCAGTAGTTCCCCCTGCTTGACCTTGCAAGTACAAAAGTAGCATGAGTTGAGCAACCTTCGTCAGGAGAGCACTGCACCACAGGAACACTTTAGGAGCAGCAGGCTTAGTGGCCGTTTACAGGGACATCAGGGCCCTTATACACGAGACGAGATGTTGGAGAGGTACTCAAGGTCAGACCTGCAGGACCATGAAGGGCATGGTAGAAGCAGTGGATGTTACGCATGGTAGGTTGGGAAGACCATACAAGGCTTTAAGCCAAAGAGTGGCATTATTCAATGCATTTGTATGGCTATTCTGGCTACTATATGGAGAACAGATTTGGCAGAGAGTAAGACTGGACAAGAAAGGTATTGCAGTGAAGGAAGATGTTAGTTTGAACTAAAAAGCTAACATTGGAGATGCAAATATGTGGATTTAAGATTCTTTTTCAATTCAAATCCACAGGTCTTTTGCTAAGTTAAATGTTGATGGGACAATGGTGGTGAATAGTTGGTCACTATGTTAGTTCCTCCTAGGTTCCTAGTTTGAGCAGCTGAATGGATGGGAGTAACCAATACTGTGATGAGAAAACACGGAGCAGGAACACGTGGAGGTGGGGGTAGAGGACCAAAAGCTGGGTTTTGGATGGACTGCTTAAGTTGGAGATGCCTGTGAGGCATCCAAGTGAAGATGTCAAATAAGCAATTGTATATACAATTCAAGATATGGGCTAGGGTTGTATTTCCTCAGTCTCTTGCTTTGGGTTTGAGTTCAGATAAACTCCAAATTGGGGCAAGGAGGGAAGTAACACTCAATAAGTGCCAAGCACCTGGGCAGGCATTTGGCATAGGAGTTACGGTGCAGCTTTGGATGCCCACAGTCCACATCAGAGGATCAGGTCTGTTCCTGATTCTGTGCACGCTGGAAGGCAGCAGGTGACAGATGAAGCACTTAGGTCCCTGCCACACACATGGGAGACCTTTTCCAATTCCTGACTTTGGCCTGGCTCAGCCCCAACTACTGAGGGCATTTGAGGAATAAACCAGTAAATGGGTTACTCTCTCTCTCTCTCTCTCTCTCTCTCTCTCTCTTTCTCTCTTTCTCTCTCTCTGCCTCTCAAATACATAAATAGAATTCTTTAAAATGTCAAGCACTCATTAGGTTACTGCCATAACATTTACACACATTTTCTAACACCCACTTTCCCCATGCCTGCCTAAGCCCCTCCCAGTTCATCCTGACTTGGACCAATTTGAGACCCCTGGGCTATGCTCTTCACAGACATGCAAACACAGAATCTAGGCCTCCCTCCCAGATCCCTCATGAGTCCCTGGAGGGTAACTGCACCCGGGTCTGTGTTCACACTCTAGAGACCTGAAGACAAGAAGTATGGGAAAGCTCCTGGGACACTGAAGCTGAACACTCAACACAGATTACAGCTAGGTCTCCCCCCTTGCTTCGGCAAGTCTCTCTGAATACAACACACCTGTTTCTTTGTCAACACTTCAGTATCTACCCGCTTCATAAAAATGCCCGAGGAATTGAGTTGCCCCTCTGAGTCACCTGACAGCATCTTCGACAGTGCAGATCCCCAGCCGTCACCAGCAGAGGTTAGAGTTCCATTGGTCTGGGAGTGGCTTGGTCTGCACTGCAGGCGATTCTGATGTTAGTCCAGGTCAGCTGCCAGCTCTCCCCAAAAATCTGTGTCCATGGTGTCTCTATCCCTTAGGTCACTGTGAAAGTTTTAAAATAAGCACCAAGTTCTTTGACACTCCTCTCATTAAGTGGTAGGTTCCATCCCCCACCCCTGAATTTCTTAGTTCTCTCAGGATCTGGCCAGCACAATGCAAGAAGCCCAAACCACATGGAGAGGCCACACCAACAGGGCCAACCGAGCTCTGCCTTTGAATCTCCTCAGCCTGGCCCACTGGCACCATCCATGCAGTGAAGCAGCCTGCAGTCATCGAGTTGCCCAGCCTTTGGGTCTTTCCCAGCTGAGTGCCAGACATCACAGAGCAGAGACAGTACAGGCCCTCCGTGTCCCATTCAAATTCCACAAAGGCTAAACTCATAACTTAAAAATTATTGCTTTATTCCACTTAGTTTTGTGATATTTTGTCATACAATAACTTGAATGGTTCCAAAAATGCTTTCTCAAGAAATATCTGTTTGTAGCCGGCGCCGCGGCTCACTAGGCTAATCCTCCACCTTGCGGCGCCGGCACACTGGGTTCTAGTCCGGGTCGGGGCACCGGATTCTGTCCCGGTTGCCCCTCTTCCAGGCCAGCTCTCTGCTGTGGCCCAGGAGTGCAGTGGAGGATGACCCAAGTGCTTGGGCCCTGCACCCCATGGGAGACCAGGAGAAGTACCTGGCTCCTGCCTTCGGATCAGCACAGTGCACCGGCCGTGGCGGCCATTGAAGGGTGAACCAACGGCAAAGGAAGACCTTTCTCTCTGTCTCTCTCTCTCACTGTCCACTCTGCCTGTCAAAAAAAAGAAAGAAAAAAGAAAAAAAAAGAAATATCTGTGAATGCAAACATATCACTTGGAAAGGCAAATTCCTTCAGAAGCACATACAGTGGATGCAGAAGACAAAACAATAGTTGCTGTCTTGTCTCATGGACACCAAAGCATCATTTGGCAGAGACACAGGAATGATATCTGGCACAGCAGTTTAGATGCTGTTTCGGATCCTCATATCCCATACTGGAGTGCCTAGGTTCAAGTCCCAGGGACTCCACTTCCAATCCAGCTTCCTGTTATTGCACACCCTGGGAGGCAGCAAATGATGCCTTAGGTTCCGGGGTCCCTGCCACCCATGTTGGAGATCCAAACTGAGTGCTGGGCTTGGGCCTGGCTGCAGGCACTTGGGAAACAAACTAATGGAGAGACAATGATCTCTCTCTCTCTTCCTCTTCCCCACCCTGCCTGTCTCTATCTACCTGCCTTTCAAATAAAATGAAAATAAATAAAATTAAAATATAAATATAAAATATTAAAATAATAATATAATAATTATAGTAATATAATAATTAAATAATAAAATATTGAAATATAAAATTAAAATATAAATATATTAATATATATATACAAGTTGCTTCTAGAAACCTGGAGACAGAAACTTGGCACACCTTGAAGACAGCATGGATAACAGGAAAAGATGCATTTAAAGGACAGATGAGGCAGGATAGCAAACTCTAGGTTTGTCTACTTCAGTTATATTTGAGGCTGCCTCTGTCATCTCTCAGATCTTCTCCCACCTGAGTTGCTGCTCATGACAGTTTCCCAAATACACCAGACTAATGTCAAAAATCACCTGGTAACTCTTGTCACAAGGCAAGTTGGGGAATACTGAATTGCAGTGGTTTAAAATTAAATGCAGAACAAAACAGCAAATGTGACACTCTCTCCCCCACACACACACCAGAAAAAAAATCACAGTTCAGCAGTGAAAATGAGGTTAACACAAAAGCTTTGTGTTTGTCAAAAACCAATAGAACATTCTGGTGGCCTTGGACCTTAAGAATCCATAGACAAATCCCAGCCAAGTCCACTTACAATGATGTAGAGGAAGAGGTTGAGGATACTGGTATTCAATTGCCAGCCAGACACTGCTAGTTATATGAAATATTTTAAATCATAAATGCCTCCAATAAAGAATAGTCAACATTTTAATTGATAAAACATATAACAAGTTCAGTTAAACAATCATATTCTTGGTCTTATTCAAGCTGTTGTTCAGGGTAAGTAAAACTGTCGGAGTAAAACATGTAACCTAGACCCTCTGGCATAGGGAGAGCAGAGATGTATTAGGCTCACAACCATGAACGAATTCTACTTTAGTAACTAACACTGATATCTACATAATTCCCAGCCTCAAAACCACCCCAAACCTCATTGTTTGCAGAAATGAACTGAGTCTCAACTCAGATTGCTGGTATTTTCTATCCAGCAATATATTTATAGTCTTCTAAAGAAATTGTGGGGGGGGGTCACTAATGAAGTCACGATAAGTACTTATGCCTCCCAAGTTCTGTATCCTAGTGATACTGTGTTGATCCCTATCAGTGAACAATTTATCAGTCCCCAAACCCTAGTCCCTACAGAGAATGATAACAACTTAGTTCCCTTTGAGCCTGTTTAGTTTTATTTCTCTTGCCTCTAGAGGCCCTTTAAGAGTTAGATGGGGGTGGCCAGCACTGTGGCATAGCCAATAAAACTGTCGACTGAAGTGCTGGCATCCCCTATGGGTGCAGGTTTGAGTCCCAGTTGCTCCACTTCTGATCCAGCTCCCAGCCAATGTGCCTGGGAAAGCACTGGAAGATGACCCAAGTCCTTGGCCCCCTGTACCTGTGTGGGAGACCCAGAAGGTGGTCTCCTGGCTTCAGATCAGCTCAGCTCTGGTGGTTGTGGCCATTTGGGTAGTGAACCAGCAGATGGAAGACCTCTCCTTCTCTCTGCCCCTCTCTGCAACTTGCCTTTTAAAAAAAAAAAAGGGTTCGATGGTGCTATTTTCCGAAGTAAAATTGACATCTGTCTCTACGCGTGTATTGTGACGGACAGAGTAAAATATCTGCGACAATGGCATTTGTACTGATGGATACTGGAACTACCAGGCAGTTGTGTGGCTGGCTTACCAGTTAAGCCACATCCCTAGAGGAGTGCCTGAGTTTGATACCTGCCTTAGGCTCCTGACTCCAGCTTCCTGCTAATGCAGACCAGGAGGCACAGGGGTAGACCAAATAATTTGGTTCCTGCCACCCACAAGGGCAACCTGGACTGAGTTCTCAGCTACTGGCTTTGGCCCAGCCACATTCTGGACACTGAGGACATCTGGGGGGAAAACCAGACTATGTGGGTGCTTGCCATCATCTCTTCTCCTCTCCAATGAATGAATGAATGAATGAATGTTTATTTATTTATTTAAATACAGGAGTTCCTTGTAACATTGCTTTAGAAGCCTAATATCCCTCCCTAGACCAGTGGCTGTGCATAAAGAACTCAGATTATAACTTCAGTGGCAGAAAGGGGCATAAAGTCTCCCTGATCACCTCTGGCTTGTCTGACTTTCTGGCCAAGCACTCGAAGACCCTGGGTGCTCACTGCCTGTGTTGTTCGCTCTCTGCCTCCCAGGGACGTGTCTTACACCAGTGTTACTGCACTGCCGTCCACAGGCCTGGAGCACCTCAAGGAACTGATAGCAAGAAACACTTGGACTCTGAAGAAACTTCCACTTTCCTTGAGTTTCCTACACCTCACACGGGCTGACCTTTCCTATCCGAGCCATTGTTGTGCTTTTAAAAATCAGAAGAAAATCAGAGGGTAAGTGGCAGAGACCCAGGCCCGCATGGAACCAATTTCTAGGTTTGAGGAAGAATCTCTGTGGTTTGAACAGAGAAGAATCTCTGCGGTTTGGCCAGTGATTCGGTGCACTCAGAGGGGTTGTGGATGAAAAATAAGGACAATGTTGGCAGATTGAAGTAGAAGAGGGAATCAGAGATAATGTAGCAGAGACAGGGGTGACCCGCTCATGTAGAACCCTGTCAAGGTTACACAGCCATGATTTCTGGCTTCTAGATGCAACATGGTGCCACAGCCATGAGGACAGGCTTAGAGACAATACAAATGATTGGTTTACACGATTGGTTTGGACTTTGTGATTATCATAGATCACTGGTTTCCTGCATGTGGACTTTTGAGTCAAGTGCCAGTTTCTAGCTGTGTTATCCCAGACTAGTCACTTAACTGCCTTGAGCCTTTGGAAATGGAGATCATAATGCTACTGTTTCACAGGGATTTTTAGAAGACTAAATGAGAAACTGAACAGAAAACACTTTGCAATGACATGGGTGGGCGTACTATCAGATTGCTTTAAAGGCTGCAACACAGGGGCGGTCTTCATTTTTTTCTCCATGCTTTCTCTGAATCTTGTTTTCACCTACATTTTAATCTGCGTATTTATCCCTTTATGTCCTGTACAACCCCCTGTCCTCCTAACTCCACCTTCATTTATCTCTTATTCAGTCCCCCTTGGCTTCAATATGAATACAAGTATCTACTGGTTGACTTTGACACTGACATTTGCCGTTGGGAAAAACTCAAGATCTAGTTGTGGGAGCAGAAGCAAAGAGAAATCTTGTGCAGAGTAGCCCACTATAGATACCCCCACTGCAGAAAACAAGGAGTGGCTTTGAGGGTGTTGTGAGAGACCCCAAACTGACACCAGGTGATGATGAGTAAGAAAAGACCAGGGATGGGTGAGAGGCTCAAGTAGACCTAAGGTACAGACTCCAGATTTCTCACTAACCTGCAGAGGTCAGCACTAGCCAGTCCATTAGAAATTTTAACCCTAATCCAACAAACTAAAATCTTTCCATCAGCTAAACCAAGTTGAAAATGTTCTTTTGTGATGAGTCTAGTGAGCTTGGCAAGAAGACAAATCTTTCTTTCGTGACCATGCCTGAATGATTGTGTTCTTTTATTCATTGGTTCAGCAAATATTTCTTGAGTACCTACTATGTGCCTGGCATTGTCCTATCCACAACATTGAACGGGACAGACAAGAGTCTCTCTTGCATTTTGTTTACAGTCTAAGGGAGGAAACAGGCAGACAAATAAGGAAAAAAAAAATCAGTGCTGGAAGGAATTAAACACAAGGGTGGGACAACTTGGTAAGAAGGAGAAGGAAGGTTTCCTCTGAGAAAGGGGCATTTGACTTTGAATAATGAGTAGAGGCAGTTCTAAGTTTTTCAGGCAAAGAGAACACAGAGGTATAGCTCTGAACAGGGATAATAACAGCAACGATAACCAGCACACATATGGCACTCACAATGCTACAGGTGCCACTCTAACAGCTTTAAAAAGGTAAGTCTATCTAAATCTAAACTGTGTTTGAAATAACATTCTCACCCCATTTTACAAGTGAATAAACCAAGGTTCATAGATTTGCTCAAGATGAAACATCTAGTACATAGCAGAGCCTGGCTCCAGCAGCCATGTTTGTTTGTTTGTTTGTTTTTTAAATCACTGCTGTTCTTGACTCGGTTGTAGCTGAGAAATGAGACCAGTGTCACTGGATGACAGTAGGACAGGGGCAGTGATAGAAAATTATGTAGGAGAGACAAGTTCAGACAGATTACATAGAATTTTACAGCATCATGTATATCACATTTTTCTAAGTGTTATGAGTACCATCAGTTTTTCAAGCAGTGAATCACTTCTGTTGCTTTATAGAATCCTTGAGTCACTGATGTGTAATGACAGCAGTATCCGGAGCCTGCGTCAGAGAAAATCTGTGGATACCTTGAATGGCCCCATCTACCAGGAATATGAAGAGGATCCCCGAGAGAGCAGTGTTGGGTACAAGGAAAACTCCAAGTTCCGGGACACTCACAGCAACTCACATTATTACGTCTTCTTTGAAGATCAAGAAGATGAAAACACTGGTTTTGGCCAGGAGCTTAAAAATCCCCAAGAAGAGACCCTACAGGCCTTTGACAGCCATTATGACTATACTGTGTGTGGAGACAATGAAGACATGGTGTGTACCCCCAAGTCAGATGAGTTCAACCCCTGTGAAGACATCATGGGCTACAAGTTCCTGAGAATTGTGGTGTGGTTTGTTAGTCTCCTGGCTCTCCTGGGCAATGTCTTTGTCCTGTTCATCCTCCTCACCAGTCACTACAAACTGACTGTACCACGCTTTCTCATGTGCAATTTGGCCTTTGCAGATTTCTGCATGGGGATATACTTGCTTCTCATCGCCTCCGTAGACCTCTACACTCACTCTGAGTACTACAACCATGCCATTGACTGGCAGACAGGCCCCGGGTGCAACACAGCTGGTTTCTTCACTGTCTTTGCGAGTGAGCTGTCGGTGTACACACTAACAGTCATCACGCTGGAACGTTGGTACGCCATCACCTTTGCTATGCGTCTGGACCGGAAGATCCGCCTCAGGCATGCATATGCCATCATGGTTGGGGGCTGGATTTGTTGCTTCCTTCTGGCCCTCCTTCCTTTGGTGGGAATAAGTAGCTATGCCAAGGTCAGCATCTGCCTGCCCATGGACACTGAGACCCCTCTGGCTCTGGCATATATTGTCTTTGTTCTGTTGCTCAACATCATTGCCTTTGTCATCGTCTGTTCCTGTTATGTGAAGATCTACATCACAGTAAGAAATCCGCAGTACAACTCTGGGGACAAAGATACCAAAATTGCTAAGAGGATGGCTGTGTTGATCTTCACAGACTTTATGTGCATGGCCCCAATCTCTTTCTATGCTCTGTCAGCACTTATGAACAAACCTCTTATCACCGTTACCAACTCCAAAATCTTGCTGGTTCTCTTCTACCCGCTTAACTCCTGTGCCAACCCATTCCTCTATGCTATTTTCACCAAGGCCTTCCAGAGGGATGTGTTTATCTTGCTCAGCAAGTTTGGCATCTGCAAACGTCAGGCTCAAGCATACCAAGGCCAGAGAGTTTCTCCAAAGAACAGCACTGGTATCCAGGTCCAAAAGGTTACCCAAGACATGAGACAAGGTCTCCCCAACATGCAAGATGTCTATGAACTACTTGAAAATTCCCACCTCACTCCAAATAAGCAGTGCCAAGTGTCAGAAGAGTATAAGCAAACTGTTTTGTAAAACTGATCCTTTGGTACACTCACAATGGTAGGGAAACTTAGAAAACTCTAGTTTCTTGAACATGCATTCCAATCCCATGCCACAGTCAACACACAGCTGGCCTAACCCTTGCTCAGGAAATTTTTCAAGGGGCAGGATCTCATCTCTGGAGAGTACTTTGTATTACACTAATCATTGCCTCCAAGAAAGGAGACAGGCAACTAGTGGTATATCTGAATTCCAGGTAACATAAAAGCAATCTATACTCCCTGGAAGACTTTTCTTGATGCTAAGTTCAGAGGTGACATTGTGTAAGATGTTCAACAAGTATCAACTGAACAATGTCAACATTGACCTTCTTACTGTTATATAGCATTTGTTCTAAAGATTCAGCAAATGAAAAATGCTATTAATTTAATTGATGACCACAAGATAAAATCAGCCCCAGGTTGGCTCAATTTCATGTCCCCTACTACAAGAAAGTTTGAGTATCTTAAAACTTAAAAGTGAAACACAACTAGATGCCATGCATGGAACAGTTATTATTAGATACGATGGAAGGGAAATGTCTAGCTTTGAGTTGTGGGTAGTTTTTTTTTTTACTCTGAAACTATTATTCATCTCTTCCCAAGGATCTATCTGATGTGACATCGTTTTTATGTGTTACCTGGAAAAACTGGTAAATTTTCAAGTTAGGTGACCTAGCACACTAAGAATTACTCTTACTGGCTAGCCTCACAGCATAAAAGATATGAACTCTAGAAAGTATTCCTAAGCAGCAACAACTGGGAATGATGGACAGAGCATCCTCAGTCACTGTTGATGAATACAGCAGGCTGGACACCAGTTACCTGAGAGTCACTGTGTCGCAGAAGTTTGTTGAAGTAAACAGGCTCAATGACCTCCTCCAGTTTTAAAAATCTATGTATATCCTTTTCCCTCAGAACATGTTCCCCGGACAAAAAGAAAGAAGAGTACTAAGTAGAATCCGTTTTTCCTAGCTTGTAGAACTGCTGACTCCTTCTCTTTGGCGCCTAGACATACGACCCAGGATATGTTTTGTTTCATTTTTGGTCACAATGTTTGAGCCAAAAATTTTATTTAGTGACTATGTTAGTTTGTTTGTAAATGATCTAATTAGTAATATACACAGCTACAGTCATCAGAACAAAACAGGTTGATATTTATATAACAAAAGTTGATGTTGAAAATTTTGGTTATTTGGAGTTGCTGTGTCACAATGTAGACTCTCTTCAAAACTCCTGTCGTCAGGGATTCATTTCTTTACCTAGCCATTTCTAACCATGCTAAAACTGTCAAGAGAGATTTCTTCTTTTCTGTAACTGCCAACTCTTCCCAACAAAGTTCATCACTGGACGTAAAACCTCTACTCCCCAACAGGACTTCCTGATGTGAACTAGGAACTTCATCCCCAGAGGGGTTCTCCAAGTTAAAAGTCACAATAGCCTCTTTATTTACTGTTGGTGGAATCTCCAAGCAAAGGTGGCATTTGCTTCTCAGAGCTCATGAACCACACCATGAAATCAAAATCCTTCTGTCGTTTTAAGTCTGGGATGGGGGATGGGTGTTTTAGGAGTAGGGTGAATGGGCCACCAGATGTGGTCCCCACATGATTCCCCTGGAATTTCTCTGCAGTATATCCATTCCCGATTAGTGTTGAGACTTGCTTGTCCTAACAGACAAACTATAAACACCTAAAATCATGACTTCCAGTATTTCTCTGCAATTACTGAAGTTAAACAGATGTGTTAGCTTGTGGCATGCATTTCTCCCCTGTAACATTCTGAAATATCGCATCTTGATAAATGATGTGTTTTCAGTAGCTGAACTAATTCTAGGAAACAAAGTCCTAGAAAAAATCACTTAAATAGAATTGTTACTAAAATTTATGTTCACAGTGCAAAATAAAGTTCTTGTAAAATGATTTTGTTCAGTCCTAGTGAGTTGGGTGTTTTATTTAGGTGCAACTTCTTAGTTTCTTTGAGGATTAATTACACTTGTTAAAACTAAAGAGGGGAAAAAGCAATTGATATATTTGCTAGTGAATCCAAATTAATCAATTGTTGACTATCAATGACTAACTTATGGTTGAAAAAACTTACTGTTCACGAGTGGGATTAAGATTCATTGATAGGTCATGATGCTAAGAGGTTAAAAAAAAAGTAAAACAAGGTATCAAGCAAGCGATTAGTATTGACATTAAGTATTCAAATAGTGCTCCAGTGAGGCTAATAAATCTGTAGGTCCTCTTCAGAGTTCATTTTACCTGGCATCTTTCAATTAACAGAAGAAATTCAAATCAGTGAAAATGAAATCCCATAGGCTAATCAAAATAGATGTCATGAAATCCATACCCTAAAGCTCATACATGATGCTCAAAGAATGTCTCACAAACACCCTCAAAGTCCATCAATTCTTGGGGCTGGTGTTGGGTATAGTGGGCAAAGCTACCACCTGCGACAGCAGAGTCCCATATGGTACCATTTCATGTCCTGGATGCTCTACTCCTATTCCAGCTCTCTGCTAATGGCCTGCTAAAACAGTGTTTGGGCCCCTGCCACCCACATGGGCAAACTAGATGAAGCTCCTGACTTCTGCCTGACCCAGCCCTGGCTGTTGCGGCCATTTGGGGAGTAAACCAGAAGATGGAAGATTGATCTATCTGTGTCTCCCTCTATCCTGTAACTCTTTCAAACAAATAATAAATTCTTTAAAAAAGAAAAAGTCCATTGACTCTTACTTTACTGCACAACAGAAGTAGCCAGTTAGAAAAGAAGAGTATAGGAGTTTGGTGCTGTGGCATAATGGGCAAAGCACAGGCATCCCATATGGACACAGGTTCGACTCCTGGCTACTCCACTTCTGATCCAGCTCTCTGCTAATGGTCTGGGAAAGCAGCAGAAGATGGCCCAAGTGCTTGGGTCCCTGCACCTGTGTGGGAGGTACAAAAGAAGCTCCTGGCTCCTGGCTTCAGATCAGCTCAACTCTTGCTGTTGCAGCCATCTGGGGAGTGAACTAGCAGATCAAAGATTTCTTTCTCTGTCTCTGCCCCTGTCTATCTGTAACTCTGCCTTTCAAAAAATAAATAACTCTTTAAATAAAAGAAGAGGAGGAGGAAGTGGAGGAGGAGAGTATATTATAGGGCAGCACCATGAGAGTATTAATAAAGTAAACTTGAGGGCAAAAAAGAAAACTATAGTCACAAAATTTTTTTGAAGACAGCACTGACACTGTGAAAACAATACTCCTATTGGTTTCCAGTCTTATTGGTAAGGCAAAATGACATTACCACACAATTACAATAATCTCATTCAAATGCCTAAAAGGGCAAGAAAAACTAGGTGGCAGCAATGTGTTTCTTCTAAAAGCTGAAATAACTTTGATTCGGGCTGAGTAGGGAAAATATGTGCTGATTTTGATCATGGGAAGACACCAGGAAAACAAAGGAGGCTCTGCTTGGGTGGGCGAGAGTTAAGAGAGAAGTTTTCAGTGAAAAGCCTAGAGAAAGAAGAGAGGCTCTGTGGAGTGGCAAAGACGGTGTGGACAGGGAGCAACTCCTGTGACCCACTGGTGACTCCCACGGTGGCTGGAAGGAAGGTCATCTTCCCAGAGTGAGGGGAGAGGAGTCCACAGAAGCCCAAGCTCCACCGGTGATGGTTTCTGGGGGTAAGCTTTGCAGTCCCCACTGATTTTGAGCCCAGGTGGATGAGTTGGTGGGGGGCAGGGCATTCATTCAACTCTGAATGGACGGCACCCTGGTTCCCTCTCCACCTGCCACCAAAGCACCCAGGGACCAGTGGGGAGAGTGCCATCTTCCCAGAATAAAGCTGGTGGAACCTGGCCTGGAGGGTTGGTAGAGGGCAGAGAATCAAGAGAGACATGTAAGATATGGAAAAGGATTACAGTCAGATTTATCTTTTAACAACCACCTACTAGAAGACAATGGAGGCTCCAATTTATCCTATTTATCATTTAACAACCACCTACTAGAATTATTTATCCTATTTATCATTTAACAACCACCTACTAGAAGATAATGGAGGCTCCAATGCCTTTGGAAAAAATATATTTTAAACCTAGAATCCTAAACCCAGCCAAATTATCATCAGAATTGAAGGCAAAATGATGACGTCTCTCTCTCTCCTTCTCTATGTATATATGCTCAAAGTTTATTTACATTGGCCAAATCATCCAAACTTGGAAATAAGCGAAAAGAGTGTTACCTCAGTGCAGTCTTGAACTTCTTATTATCTTGGCTATTTTACAAATCTACAGGAACAGAAATTTTTATCGGATAGAGATTCAAATAACATCTGCACTGTTCTCAGCCCGGTGAACATTAGCCAGTTTTGTGTCTTGCCTAGCAGCCTTATCCTAACACTTATATTTTGCTCTCATATATCTAGCCTCTGAGGTACTTTCTGGATCAGTTTTTAACATTTTAGTTGTTTTCTCATTAAATTAAAAATTGAATAAAATCTTTGACATGTGCCTGTTTTATATCTGCATGACATTTATTTGAATATTTCCCATAGTCTTTTCTGAAAAAAATTACTTGAAGTTATATTTCACATGAAATGCTATTTTCTTCTCAATGGATTCTTTAAAAAAATAGATTTGCTTATTTATTTGAAAGACAGAGTTACAGAGAGAAAGAGAGAGAGAGAGAGAGGTCTTCCATCTGCTGGTTCACTCCCCAGATGGCCACAACAACCAGAGCTACACCATTCCAAAGCCAGAAGTCAGGAGCTTCTTCTGGGTCTCCCATGTGGGTGCAGAGGCCCAGGGACTTGTGCCATCTTCCATTGCTTTCCCAGGCAACAATTAAAAGCATGACATTTAAAGAAACTTTCAGAATGGTTAATTTGATCAGATAATTGAGTTAGACATTTCAAGTTCTAAGAGGAAGAGGCAGGTATCACAGTGAACATGATTTGAATAATAATCTAGCCACTACAAAGTATAGATTTTTAGGATGTGACAAATCCAAGTCAGTGAATTTTAAAGTATGTACCTGTAACAGTTCTGGAAAGCTAACCACTAAGAAAGTAAAACTCCAACACAATTAGTTCCACTGGTCTGCCTAATCAGAATTTTTGTTTCCCATTAATGCATTGCTGTAAGTTGCATAAGGAAAATTAAGCAACTAATCGTCAGCTGTTATATTAATGTAGTAAGTCAAAAGTAAAACTTTGAACTGGGAAACCAAGACTATTTGTATAAACAGCTTCAAATCAGTCACCCACAAACATTTAGTGTAATTGTGGAATCTAGTTTGGGAATTTGGAAGTACTTGGGAATGTTCTGTTCCATTTATTGAAGTACTTCAGGTGGAGAAAGCTTAGGGAGGAGATAGGTAATTGTTATGTGACAGTACAAAAAAATGGCTATCTCATTCGTATGTCTCTCACTCTTGAAAAACAGTATGATTCCTTGTGCCCCACTCAGGAGGGATTAGAGTCCCAAGGCACTATGGAGCTAGTTTACTGGTCTGGAAACCATGCAATGATGGATTAGCAATTCAATATAATGTGATTTTAAAAGTAAATTATTTTTAATTGACAAATCATAATTGTATTTACAGAATATAATGTGATATTTTGCCATATGAAATGTTAAATCAAGCTAATTAGCCTATCCATCAATTCACTTACTTGACATTTTTTGTGACATTTGAAATTATGCACAGTATTATTATGGGCTATACTTGCCCTGCAGTGCAATAGATCTCAAACTTACTCTTCCTCTCCAGCTGAAACTTTGTAGTGACTGCCAGTGAGTCCTCTCTCCCTCAGTCTCCACCCTGCCCACCTTCTTGTTACTCTCGTTCAACTCTCTCCTGTGAATTCAACTTTAATCAGATTCCATGTGTAAGTGACATCATGCAGAATTAGTCTTTTTGTGCATGGCTCATTTCACTTAGCATAATATCCTCCGTATTTATCCATTTTACCTCAAATGGCTGAATTTCATTCTTTTTTAGGGGTTAGTAGCATCCCATTGTGTACAGATGAAGGATAGCAAGAGTTGGTAAGGTTTCAGAGAAAGAAATCTTGTACATGGTTGGTGGGAATATAAATTTGTACAGTCATTATGGAAAATAGTATGATGGTTCCTCAAAAATATTAACAACCATTCAATCCAACAATCCCACTCCGGAGAATAAATGCAAAGAAGTTACTGTTTTGAAGGGATAATTGCACGTCAGTGTTCATTGTACTATTGTTTACATCAATGGGATTTAAGCATAGAATTCTGGGGTGTACATTTGGTGCGGTGATTAAGACACCGTTTGAGATACATCCCGTATCAGAGGGTGTGGGTCGGAGTCTTGGCTCCACTTCCAATTCCAGCTGTCAGTTTACACCCTGGAAAGGCAGAAGGTGATGGCTCAAGTACTTAGGCCCCTTCCACCCATGTGAAAGACCTGGATTGAGTTCCTAGGTCCTAGTTTCGGCCTGGCCCAACATGGCCACTATGGGACCTGCAGATAGGCGATGTTTGTCTCTATTTATTTCTCTTTCAATTAAATTTTAAAAATTGAAGAAAAAACTCATTTCCAAAAATAAATAAAACACAGAATTCTGGTCATTAAGGAATTTACCACTAAAAAAAGCACTATCCACTCATTAGGCAAGAAGTATTTTGACCAAAATCTATTTTTAACTTATTCCTTCTTGTGTCTCAATTTTCTTTTTCACAGGCACAATAATTTCAGGATTAACACCAAGGATAGTTGCAACAAGCTGAAAAAGAAAAGCCTCATTTCTCTGGGAGAATTTTTAATCTCTCAGCAAGAGGTCTATCAAAGAAATAAGGTAAAAGTTTGAGAGAAACTAGTATCATCTATTTCTTTTTTAGACAATCTGCAGTTTAAATTCTATTACATTCCATCTCAGATCCTTGAGTTCATGGGAAAAGGTTGCTGGAATGACAGTAGACAAACTTAGATACTGTCACACTAGATACTGACAAATGACTTACAGGTCTTTCCAAACACAGGACTCCTTGGATTTGTTATTAATAACTAATAGAAGCATCATGTTCTATTTGCTCTCAGATATTTTTCAAAGCATGCCTTAAGCACTCCAACAGGAAAGGAACTAGGAGATATATTAATAGCTTCAACAAATGTTGGAGAAATGAGATACCCTGACCCATCAATGCCATAGTCCAGATGAAAGGGGAGATGCCTGACTTCAGACCTGTTTTCACCATCTGTGGCCAACTCTGGTGAAAGGGAGAAAGCGAGCACACACCTCTGGCACTCACAGGGCTTCCCAAACATCCAAGTTGCTACCTGATCTCACTTTAATTGGTGCAGTTGAGCCACTAGTGACAGCAGTACTCAGAGGGAGTTCATGTACTTTCTTCTGTTTCTTTGACTGTTTGCCCATCCAGCCTCTATTGTAGTCTTAAATTCTTTCTGAATCCACTCGAGCAGTAACCACACTCTGTCCTACATCTGGACGATTCTGCACTTATACCAATCCCTCTATCCTATCCCTCCCTATCCTAGTCCCAATACCCCTTGGCAAATCTATTCCATTCTGTCCCTCCAGAGTCCTGAAAAGCACAACATCTATGCCTCTGACTTCCTATGAATGCAGACCTGGGAGACAACAGGTGATGGCTCAGGCGGTTGGGTTCATTCTACTCTCATGGGAGGTCTGGACTGCGTTCCCAGATCCCAGCTTTGACCTCAGCCCAGCCCCAGACATCATGGGTGTTTGGGGAAAGAACCAGTAAATGAGAGCATATGACCTTGCACCCCCTTCCAAATAATTTTAAATTTTTAAGAAAGATTTATTTTTTATTTACTTGGAAGGCAGCATTAGAGAGAGAGAGATAGACAGAGATCTTCCATTCTGGTTCTCCCCCTCAAATGGCTACAACAGCTAGGGCTGGGCCAGGCCAAAGCCATGAGCTTCTTTCAAGTCTCCCTTGAGGGTGCAGGGGCCAGAAGACTTGGGTCATCTTCCACTGCATTCTCAGGCACATGAGGAGTGAGCTAGATCAGAAATGGAGCAGCCAGGACTCAAAATGGTGCCTTATAGGTATGCTGGCATTGCAGACAGCAGCTTAACCTGCTATACCACAGCTCTGACCCTTATAATTTTTGAAAAATATGATTTAAATAAAAAACAAAGGAGAAGGCAGGCATTGTGGTACAGCAGGTTGAGCTGCCACTTGAGGAACCTGCAGCCCATATTAGAGTGCTGGCTGAAGTCCCAGCTACCTCACTTCTAATCCAGCTTCCTTCTAACGCACCTTGGAAGGTAGCAGATGATGTTCCAAGTGCTTGGGTTCCCATCACCCACACAGGAGACCAGGATGGCATTCTTAGCTCTTGATTTCAGCCTGGCCGAGCCTCTATTGTTGTAGCCATTTGGGGAGTGAACCAAAGGATGGAAAATCTCTCCCTGTCTGTCTGTCTCTCTCTTTCTTGTTCCCTCGCTCTCTCACTCCATCACTCTGCATTTCAAGTAAGTAGCATATCTTTTTAAAAATTAAATTAAAATTAAAGATTAAAAAAGGAAAGGGATTGGCAGTAGTTGACACTGTAGCTGGGATAAACTGAAAAGCTTTTTAAGCATATTCCTCACAGACAAGCAATGGAAACAGTGAAAAGGTACAGAGATTAGCAGTGAGAATGGTTGAGTGTTTCAGAATCAGAGAAGGTGACTACATGTCAGACAAAGAAACTTGAGGGAATTGGTCACAATCACGTGTCCCATCTACTGAAAGGGAAACACAGATGTGGTGCAATGAGAAGGCCGTGCTAAGATGGTGCTGGCGAGTGAGCGTTCAGATACTCAGGAAATGGCAGCGGAACCCACCTGGCAAAAGAGCCTGCCTAGCAACAGGCAGTGATTGGTTACAGCATAAACCGCCCCTTGACCAGATTGGCTGGCTTGGCAATGTAAGCTGCTGCACCAACTGAAATAAACGAGTCTGTAAGCTGCTTACCTCTAGCCCGTTTTCATCCGACTCCTGGTGTCTGTGTCGTGACTCCACGCCACTTGCCCCGACTGTGCTTCTCTCAGAATGAATCCACAGCAACACACAGGGACTAATAATTCCATACTTGTACAGCTGACTCTTTCACACATTGGTTAGAATTGCCCACCATTTCCAGAGAAAGGTTCTGTAACTTTTTGATAAGTGAACAGCAACCACTACAAAATCAATGGTTGGAAAAGTCAGCCAGAAACAACTAATTCACTTGTTTCCTTTAAGGTTTTACTGAAAAAACCTCAAATATGCCAGCTTTGTCTTACAGAAAGTTCTCTTAAGTACTAATAGATATCTTAATTTAAATGATAATGAAGAGAAGGCTCAATTTGTTCATTTTTCAAGGCTGAGCACAGGGAGACACCAGCAGGGTAGAAAATCAGTAGACTGTCTAATGTTGGTTTTAATTCCACAGCAAAATCTGGAAATGTCTTTTGAAAATTTTCCTAAGAACCTGATTGTTTCTGTGTTTTTTTGGCTTTTCATTTATAAAGTCTTCCAAGAACTGTCAACAAAGTATTAGGTGGAAAGTGAGTGTTGAATGACTTAACAACCTCTGATTCATTTCTGAGTAGGCCTTGTTTTCTCTGGCTGTGCTTGCCCTGAATAACCCAGGAAACACAAGAACAGAGAGGGGGAAATTTGTGTTAACCTTAACAAGTCGAGTTACCATTGAGGACAGTACTTAAAAGAAGTTCAAGAACTTTGTTCTGCTGCTTTATCTGTTAGCCCACCCAGTCTCCATATTACCCATAAGTTCTCTCCAAACCTACTTACTCTGTAACCAAAATACTTTTCAGGGGACAAATCAGCATCACCTTTTTTGACAATAAAATTTCTTTAAGTAAGGTTAATGATGATAGTTCTTAGATCAGTGAAAGGACATTGAATGTCTCTGTTTCAGGGAAATTTAATAAAAAAAGGAAATCAAATAATTAGCTTCTTTCACAGAATTGGGTCATACAATTCATCCACCAGCACCACCACCTCCCATAGGCCTTCTAAATTCTATCGTGGCAAAAAAAAAAAAATAAAAATAAAAACAAACAAAAAAAAAAAACTCTGCCAATTAAACATAAAAAACATTTTACAGCCAGTTATTCTCACTGAATTATTATTATGTTATCTGTGCATATCTCACATCTTGTACAACTATTGTAGATGTAGATAGCCATTTCCCAGAAAATGGAATATAGATTCTTCTTTTCAAGTTATTATAAAACGATCATTCTTGGATTTTCCTTCTCTCAGGAGCCCCAGTCAACCTATAACAAGCCTGTGGTTGCTTTTCCCACCCTAAAAAAAAAGCCTAGGGGCTACTATTGTGGTAGAGCAAGCAAAGCAGCTACCTGCAATGCTGGCATCCCATAGAGATGCTAGTTCAACTCCCAGCTGCGCCACTTCCCTTCCAGTTCCCTGCTAATGACCTGGCATAACCATCCCAAGATGGCCCAAGTGTTTGGGCCCTTGCCACACATCTGGGAGACCCAGATGAAGCTCCTGGCTCCTGGCTTTGGCCTGGCCCAGCCCTGGTCATTGTGGGAATCTAGGAAGTGTACTGGTAGATGGAATATCTCTGTCTCTTCCTGGAGATTTTCAAGTAAATAATTTTTTTAAAAAAGTCTAGGGGCTGGTGCTGTGGTCAGATTAAGCTGCAGCATGGGATACCCACATCCCATATTGCAGTGCCTGTTTTGGGTCCTGGCTACTCTGCACTTCTGATCCACCTTCCTGCTAATGTACAACCTAGGAGGCTGCATGTGATGGGCAAGTACTTGGGTTCCTGCAGACCTGGATTAAGTTTCCAGCTCCTAGCTTCAGTGTGACCCAGTCCCAGCTGTTGTAAGCATTTGGGGAGTAAAGCAGCAGACAGAAGATCTCTCTCTCTCTTTCTCTCTCTCTCTCACTCTCTCTCTCTCTCTCACTCTCTCTTATTCTGCCTTTCAAGTATTTGAAAATAAACAAACATTTTTTAAAGTTGGCTTGGCTTTCCCATCATTTCTTTGGCTCTGTTATCAAAAATCTAAATGAGAGAGAGAAAGTTGTTTTCACTCACTGTGGCAAATCGCTTCTCTCTCATTCTCTGTTAGACCCAACCCAATTGGGTTTTCAAGCCCACAGTTCCATGGTAACCAATTTTTTTTTTTTTTGACAGGCAGAGTGGACAGTGAGAGAGAGAGACAGAGAAAAAGGTCTTCCTTTGCCATTGGTTCACCCTCCAATGGCCGCCACGGCCGTCGTGCTGCGGCCGGCACACCGCGCTGATCCGATGGCAGGAGCCAGGAGCCAGGTGCTTTTCCTGGTCTCCCATGGGGTGCAGGGCCCAAGCACCTTGGCCATCCTCCATTGCACTCCCTAGCCACAGCAGGGAGCTGGCCTGGAAGAGGGGCAACCGGGACAGAATCCGGTGCCCCAACCGGGACTAGAACCCGGTGTGCTGGCACCGCTAGGCGGAGGATTAGCCTAGTGAGCCGCGGCGCCGGCCATGGTAACCAATCTTGTTAAGGTCACCCATGAACCTATTTTCAGCCAGTATTTTCCATGCTTGATTTATCAGTAGTACTTGACACAAGTTTTCACTCCCTCTCCCACTGACATACATTCTTACCTTTATTTCCAGGATACCAAAATACTCTGGCTTGCCCAGTTACATCACTGACCACTTTTTTTCAACTGCTGTTGCCCTTCTTTTCTTCCCATTAACTTCTTATAATACCTGGGAATCAGTCCTTGGTTTTTTTTCTCTTCTATCAATACTTACTCACTAGGTGGTCTCATGCAATCATAAGGCTTGTCATTAAAAAGATTTATTTACCTACTTAAAAGGCAGAGTTACAGAGAGGGAAGGGTGGAAAGAGACAGAGAGAAAGCCTCCTTTTGTTGGTTCACCCCCTAAATGGTCACAATGGCCTGGGCTGGGCCAGACCTAAGCCAGGATCCAAGAGCTTCATTTGCATTTCCCACATTCGTGGCAGGGGCTCAAACACGTGGACCATCTTCCACTGCTTTCCCAGGTGTATCAACAGCGAGCTGAATTGGAAGTGGAACAGCTGGAGTTCGAACAAGTGCCTGTATGAGATGCTGGAATCACAGGTGGTCACTGTACCTGCTATGCTACAATGCCAGCCCCCAAGACTTTGAATACTATCTGTATGAAATGATTCCAAAATGTGTATTTCTACACTAGAGCTTTCTCCAAGCTCCAGATTTGTATATCCATCTGCCTTGCCGTCTGCACTGCGATCTCTAATAGGCACCTCAAAGTCATATCCAATACCAAATGCCAGGTCTTTTACCACAAAACCAGCTTCCCCTCAGGCTCCCTCACCTCAGGCTGATGGCCACACATCCTTCAAGGTGTTCAGACTAAAATCATGAAGTCCGGGTTATTTCACTCCCTTGCTGTCAGGCCAGGCCCTATTGATTCTCCCGGTCCCCGTGGAGGTGAGAGGAAGAAATGTGTGCAGGACTGCGGCAAAGGGTGCCGCTTGGGTAGCAGAGATTTCTCAGAGCCAGGGCCCTTGCAGATGTCACGAGACCACAGGGGCACTGCAACACTGACCACATGGAGAGAGACCTTAACATTGTTGTCCACGTCCAGCACTACGAGAACATGGATATGAGAACCCCCATAAATAATCTACACACCACACAGATGAACAACGCTGTGCCCACCTCCCCTCTGCTCCAGCAGATGGGCCACCGGCATTCGTATCCCAACCTGGGACAGATCTCCAATTTCTATGAGCAGCAGCCGCCAGGCAAAGAGCTCAACAAGTACGCCTCCTTAAAGGCAGTCGCTGACAAGGTCAATGACGACTTCTATTCTAAGCGACGGCACCTGGCAGAGCTGGCCACCAAGGGGAACCTCCCTCTGCACCCCGTGAGAGTGGAGGATGAGCCTCAGGCCTTCAGCCCTGAGCACGGCCCCACCAAGCAGAATGGACAGAAGTCCCGCACCAACAAGATGCCCCCACACCCCCTGGCCTACAACGCCACCGCCAACTTTAAGGGCTGGGACCCCAACGAGCAGTCTCTCCGGCGGCAGGCCTATGGCAACAAGAGCAAGCTTGGCACGGCCGAGCTGGGCTCCAGCAACCCCTTGGGGACTCGCACCCAGCACTACCCACCCCCACAGCCATACTTCATCACCAACAGCAAAACGGAAGTGACTGTCTGAGCTTTGCTACAGGGAGTTCCCTGGAGACCACACTCAACTGAGAGAGGCAAAAAATCCCAGTCCCTACCTTTCCTATCCTCCTGTCCCCCAAACACACACCCACACACTCTCAACAGGAACCCAGTGTAGACCTACTGGTGACAGAGAATCACGCTTTCCCTGGGTCACGCCTAACACGCTTCAGCAGGCAGCTGAGGAAGACAGGAGCATGGACATGCAGCAATACAGCAAAGGGGAAACGGAGGCACCCTCTTAACATCGGGCCCAAGGTGGCAGCCAGCTCACATGCCCACACCGTGGGGCTAGTCTTTCTTTTCCTCCTAACTGGAAACTGAAATCTGTGATGGCAAAAAAAAAAAAAAAATTAAAGTAGCACAATTTAGAGAAATTGTCCATGTGAGCACATGCACTATTTGCCACGTGCTATCTGTTTTTTTGATAAAAGAGCCGGGGTGAAAGGGGATAGAGAGAGGGTGAGGCTGTGCACAGAGAAGCATGGATGTCGGAAGAATTGTTCTGGGAGAGATTCACCTACACCGAAAGCATTGTTTTCTACCCCCAAGAAGAGCTGATGTGAACACCAAGTTTTAATGAGTACGAGGCAGGAACTGGACCCCCAACCATATAGGGATAGGACTTTTTCATATTGTCTATGTTGACAGAAAAAAAAAAAACCTTTCAAAAAAATAAAATAAAATAAAAGACCCTGAGACCATGGATGGGGGTCAGGGATGGGGAGGAAAGAACTTTTTGAGAAGCCCCCGTGATGACCGTGACAATGGAAATGGGAGGCCCGGGCTTTGATGGCGGGGAGAGGGTCTAGAATATAAAGGGACACTTTTTCTAAAGACAAAACATAAGCCCTTTACAAAACAGACACGAACCATAAATTAACCTTTGTCCAACATCTTCAAGAGTTAGGACGTTGTCTACAGCTGACATCAACAACACAGAATACCCACCGTCGGAAAAGTCAACAGGAGGTGAGGTGGGGCCGATCCTGGCTGTCGCCGTCACCTCCCAGAGCTGAAACAGTCCTCCAGGAACTGCCTGTCTCCACCTTCCCCTCCCCTTCAGCGTGTTGCTTCAGCCGTGGCAAACTTCTCCTGCTTTGGACTGAAGATGTCATCAGCGTGGGTGGTGCCTTCAATGTGTTACTGTTGCATGACAGTCTTGTTTCCAAGTGTAACCTGTGTTCTTTTAGCCTCCTTCCTCCTGTTTTTTTTCTGCAGTAGTAGATGTTTCCATTCTTCTTTGTAGGTGAGCCCACACTATTACACCTTTGAAGGGGGCGGCTGCAATGTCGGGGGACCTAAGTAAGGACACACTCCTAGTTCCCACCATCTTTCCAAATGACCTCCCGAGGTATTTCAACCCATCCTCCAACCCCACCCCCAGCCAGAATTTCCTGAGGGCTTTCTCAGATCGGTTCTCATACTAACCAAGACCATGCTAGTTCTTTTTAGTCCAGTGGAAGCCCAGCAGGCCATGGAAGGAGAAGAGATTTTCATTTAGCGAGAGCTTTGGGACTCACCCCACAGGTCCTCACTAATTAATGACTAGGTACTTCCACGAGACCCACAGGCCTCCGGGGTCAGAAGCTGGGCAGACAACACTCTGAGCGTTTCCTGGGATCCTGAACTGCAATATTCTGTCTCACCTGTCTGTCTACCCCGGCATCATAGAATCAGCCAAACCAGATAATTCTCCTCCTCACTCCCAATAGATATCAGGACACCAACGATGCATTTCTTCTCTCTGGGCCTTAGTCTCCTGTCTCGAACATGGGGAACTGAGGCCAAGTGGAGCTTTTCCAGCTTTTTGAAACAGCAAAAACTCTGCCTATTTTTACAAATGAAACCTTGCGAAGAACCTGCCGTAACAGATCACCATGTGTAAAGAGGCTTGGTGCTGTTTAGAGGAAGCAGGGGTCAGAGGTTTAGTGCCCACCTTCCTGGCCTCCTTGCTGGAACCCTGACCCCCGAAATACTGCTGAGTGTGGTCGGTGTTTCCTTGGCATTGGTTACTGCATGCCTGTGGCACACTTGGCATATCTGTGTGTCACCATGACAATATCTGTGTCTAAACTGACTCATTCTTAATACATTTTATTTTTAAAAGGAAAATTTCCTGCCTTCATCACCAATAGAAAACCAGTATCAATCTCCATAAATAGAAAGTAAGCATAAAAATAAGTCCCAAGGCAACAAAACAGCAATGATTAAATTCTAGCTAGATACAGCTGCCTGGGGGAGGGTCTGAACCTAAAGCCTGGTTCATTCTCTCTCTCTGGGAGATGAGCAGATGTTAGAGTCGTTGAAGACAGCAGCATCCCATGGAGGCCTCTTGCTTGAAGTCATCAGATAGACTGAAATGTACATTAAAAGGAACCACATCTCTGATCCATGTGCTACCCACTGGAGTGTTATGTCGACTGGTGGCACATAGCCCACACTTGAGCAAAGACAGAGTTGACTTATTGGAGGGGTCCCCTGTAGCTCAGTTCTGTCATCTTTGCTGTTTGCCCTCAACCTGTTTCATCTCATTCTAACCCCAGCTGTCATTCAGGGTCTTTCTTAGTCTCTGAATCAAGGATATTGTATTTCTTCTTCATGCCCCTTCTTTGATGAGCCAACAGCATCCAGCGAACTTGGCTCCTCGGTGTCTGCATTTGTGATTTTGCCAGCCAAAGTGCCAACTGATCAATGAGACGTAGCGGTGACGAAAGCCCAGCAGGACAGGTGCTTGCCAAGCACTGCTGTCCGAGACAGACACCCCTCGGAGCTTTCTTAGTTTCATTACCTTTCACTAGGCTTTGAGAGATGCACTGGATGGGGAAGGTCTGTATCTGTTTTCTTCTGCAGGGGGCATGCGCACAGACCTCAGGATGCTGAAAGACAACATGACCCATGGAACTGTCTAGGAGTCCCGTGTTCCAAGACAAGGATCCCATAGCCAGGATGTGGGGAATTGGAAAAGCCGGAACACAGCCGAGAGAAGGTCCTCTCCTTGTCCCATGCCCTAGAGGCCTCTACTTCTTGCCTTTAGTTGTCTCCCAGTTCCAGCCCACTGGGGCCAGGGTCTGACATCCTCTTACCCACCCTAGGAGACCCAGCCTACGTCCACCTTGGGCTCTGCCTGGCATCCCCATCTAACTCCCCCACCCCCAGTTTATTTGTGTAAATGGAGCATATTTTCTGTGCAAATATTTTAGTAATCGTATGTTCTGCAAGTAAACCTGTGTTAATACTGTCACAACTGCAGAGTTTATGATACCAATAATACTTCCTACAACAAAGAAAAAACATTTGTTTTCTAAGAATGTTTATTTGTAAACATATGTATTCACTATATTAATATGAATTTCTTACCTGGCAATAAAACTGATCACATGTGAAAAAAAATAAAATAAAATCATGAAGTCTTCCTTGGTTCTTATCTTTGCTTCATACCCTCATACAAACCAACCCTTTTTGGCTTAACCTCCCAAATATTTGTAAGGTTTGGGGATTTGTCCTGGTGGTCAGGACACCCAGATCCCACATTGGATTCCTGCTTCTGGATCCTGACTCCAGCTTCCTGCTAATGCAAACCCTAAGAGGTAACATAATGATGGTTTATACAGTTGGGATTTTGCTTCTCATGTGGGAGACATGGGAGTTCCTGGCTCCAGCTTTAGCCCTGGTACTGCCCCAGCCATTGCATGCATTTGGGTAATAAACCAGTGGATGGGATCTCTTTCTGCCTCTCAAATTTATTTTATATATACATATATAATAAATACACACACATATATATATACAAGCATGTATGTGTGTATGTATATATATCTAGAATGTGGCCACTTCTTAAACATTCGCTGCTATTTTCCTGGTCTGGATTATCTGATTACTATCCTCTCTCTTCTTTGGACCTCTAATCGATCTCCATTGTCCCAACACAATCTATTTGAGGAGTTGACAGACTACTTCCCAGTAGTAACATTGGGTCCATTGCCTTTGTGTGTACAACCTAAGAGCCAAGAGTGTTTTTCATAAGTATAAGCTAAGAGTGCTTTTGGAAAAAAAAATCAAAAGAAGAATATTTGAGGCACAAAGTTGAGTTAATAAATAATGCTCCTGGCTGCAGGCGTCAGCCTGGTTCCATCCTGGCCACTGTGGCCACTTGGGGAGTGAATCAATGGATGGAATATGTCTCTACCTCTTCTCTCTCTGTAACTCTGACTTTCAAATAAATAAATAAATCTTGAGACAGACAGACAGACACTGACTTAGATCAGGTCATTCCTCCGCACAAAGTCTACGACTCTCCAGTACCCTCAAAGAGAAAGCCCAGCAAGGCCCCTAAGATGCATCTGATTCCTCTCGGCTCTTGGCGCCTGTAAATCTCCCCTGTGCTGACCTTGTTCCAGCTGCTCCGACTTCCTGCTGTTCCTGCACCAACAAATTCCTCGAGCAGACCCTTGGCATCGGCTCTTCCCCATCTAAAAGGTGTCTCTGCCATTGCTGTTGGGACACGTCTCTGACCTCTGTGAAGTCTTTGCCCCGATGACCACCTTTCCTGATGACCCTGATTTGAAGTTGTAACTTGTTCCATGCTGCACTGCTGGTTCCTTCACACTGCTCTATTTTATATGTTTTTTTTTTTCTGCTGCATTTATCACCTCCTAACAACTACATAGTTTGCTTCTTTATCATGCTATGATAAACATAACAGAATTTATGCTCCACAAGAGCAGACATTTTTGTTTTATTCCTTGGCATATCCCAAAAGCCTAGAATAGTCCCTGGCACACACAAGGTGCTCAGTAAATATTCTTTGGATTAACTGAATTTCTGATATAATGTTGTTCATTTCTATGGTGGGCTTTAAGTCCTTAAAAAGGCAGCCTTCCAAATACAACAGCATATCTTGAGTACAGCATAACTATTTGGCAACTAATTTGACTTTTTATATAGTTAGGCATTCTCTATGGTTATAAATTAAATATGGTCTTATATAAATTCTTAAAGACTGAGAGAAAATATTTTATTGCACATCATTTCCTCTGCCAGATGGCCAAGGCAATCTTTCAGTAAGGAAGCACTTGTGATCAGAAACCAAAATCCCCTGAAGCTCATTGAGTTCAGTCTCGGCTTCCAATTAGAAGCATAGAAATTGACCATCCCTGGGGTCGGCGCTGTGGCATAGCGGATAAATTCGCTGCTTGCAGCGCCAGCATCCCATAAGAGCGTGGGTTTGAGACCCGGCTGCTCCAGTTCCGATCCAGCTCTCTGCTGTGGTCTGGGAAAGCAGTAGAAGATGGCCCAAGTCCTCGGGCCCCTTACCCACATGGGAGACCCAGAAGAAGCTCCTGGCTTCGGATCGGCACAGTTCTGGCTGTTGTGGCCATTTGGGGAGTGAAGCAGCAGATGAAGACCCCCCCCCCCCCCGTAACTCTTTCAAATAATTAAATAAACCTTTAAAAAAATTGACCATCCACATCCAAAAAAACTTTGAATAGAGCTTTCATTTAGTTCAATTAATTACACGTTTTTTAGTATGCTCTACAAGCAAGACACTATATATCAGGGTTATCTTTTTGTTTTGGTTTGACTTGTTTTTTCTTATTTATTTGAGAGGCAAAGATGG